AGCGGCGAGATGATCACTTCTATTTGGGCGACAGGCCAGGAATGAAAATTGTCCCCCAGGCTTATCGCTGGAGAGGAGGTGGTGCGGCTGCGCTTTGCTGCATTACCTCCCCGCCCGGCCCCGCCCCTCGCGCCGGGAGTAGCAGAGCCGGACTCCGCGGCCCCGGCGCGGCGTGTCTCCCGCGAACCCCGAGGGTTGGGTGGAGCCGAGTAGTCTGCAGTGGCCTTTCTGCCTCACACATACACAGACTGCGGACGCGCGCCCGTGTGTGTGTGTGTGGTGTGAGTGTGTGTGAGAAAGAGAGGGCGGCCACATCCTCGGTCTAGCCTTGGCACGCTTGGCGGTCTCGTCCCCCGGCTGAGGCGTCGCGGTCTCCTGCCGGACTCTTGGAGTAAAGCCTCGAGGGGCACAATTGCCCCCGTTGTTTCTTCGCCCCGGAGCCGGCCTCTTTGTGGCCCAGACTCCAAACGTCACCACCTTTCCGAGAACCAGAGACCTTGGCCTCCTCGGGCTTCCCTCACTCACTCAAACAAAAGCCGGAATTGGACAGACCACCCCGACATTGATAGTTTCCCTCTTATCGGCCGTCTGCTTTCTTCAAGCACTCGTTGCCGTCGCCCTGCTTAGCTGACAGGAATATCGAACCCTGGGAAGCATGCGAAGCCAGAAAGAAACGCTTTAAATTCTGGGCTCCGTTCTGCCGTGCGTGCCCGTCGGCCCGGCAGCGCGTTTCCACTTCGAGGGTGGGCCTTTCTTCACAAAGGCCGGGGCTGGGGCCGTTTGGAGCGTGTGAAAGGGAAATTGCGGCCAGGAGTGACCCCTCGGGCTAGAGAGTGGGAGCCAGGCCTCTCCTCCCTCCCCCCCTCCCCCCACGAGATGAGAAAGTACGGTTGATAGCTGGGGTCTGGAAAGGGCGGTGGAGTCGGTTTTGTTTTTCTTTTGAATTGCAAAAAGCAAGCTACCAGAATAGGGCTAGGGATTCCTCTTGCAGCCTTGCAACACTTAGACGCCCCGGCGGGAGCAAACCGACCTGGGTGGGATCTTGCTGGGGGAAAAGGGAGAGGGTGAAGTGCGTGGCGCCATGATCGCGAGTCTGGGTTTAATTCTTAGCTGCGAGGTAGAAATTTTGCGTGGGAGGAAGATCTCAGAGGTGAAGTCTGGCCTTCCCTTTTACTAAGCAGAAGGATTATTCAGAAGGCTGGTTTTGCTGGTCTTTCGTTGTGACTCAGGACAGTTCTAAAGATACATTTAGAGATAGACTCCTGAAGTCATGCTCTTTGCTTGCTTACTCAAGTTCCCTTTTATCTCTTTGTGTGTGTTTGATGTAAATAAATTCTGCATTCCTTAAACTGGTGACTGTTATGATACTTAATATCTTGTGTATAATTAAGGATTCTTAGGTTCGTTTTAGAGAAATATACTATTTACCCTTCAGGCAGAGAGAAATTTTCTATATATTTTTTAAAAAATTTTTAATTCCGTGTGTGTGTATATATATATACACATACATATATAGTGGCCCAAGGGATTAAGAGCACTATGAAGCTCTCACTAGCCACTGCAGCGTGAGTATCATACTAACCAATGTGACTTGAATTCAATCCCCAGCCAAAGAGCTGACCCACATGGCACAGCAGACCTCTCCTGTCTTGTCCACTGCTCCCCTCAGTGTGTATTTCAGTCAATCTGCCTCTGCTCCCCACTCTGTCTCTAGTGAATCCTCTCCCTGCCCCTGCCTCTGGCCTACACCCAGCTCTTGCATGCATAAATACATAAAATAAATTTTAAAAATATATAATAAAAATAATACATAGAACATATGCTTTAACTCATTGGCTTTATTACTACATAGTATTTTGTTTTGCCCAAAAGGCCTACAATAAAATTGGTATTGTTTTACTATTTGACTTTCAAGACATTAAAATATAGCACTGAAAGGTAAAAAAAGGATTTTAGAAATGCAGAAAGTTTGTTAGGTGGTAATATACTGTTTTTCCTCTAAGACTAAGTACTCGATTTCAATTTTACTTAAATGTAGTAATTTTTAAGATACACTTTTATTAAAACAAATTTTAATGGAAATTTTCCCAAGGAAAAAATACCCTCATATATTTTATAAGTCTGTAATATGTTATATAGAAAAGAAGAAGAGGTCTAAGACATTCATATGGAAAAAAATGGGCCACTAATGTGGTTAGAATAACAAATAGACAATCCTTTCCCTTTTCAGTATTTCAGTAGTGATATGGCTACTCACCCACAAAGAAGAAAAATATCAAAAAATAACTAGAATTTGGTAGTCCATCCATACCCTAAGACAACACAGACAATAGAAGAAAACCTCAAGTAAAACAAAGAATTGGCAGGGCTGAGCCAATGCTACCTTAGTAGCAAGGTTGCAACAAATATCTCAGCTATTTATTGCAACAAAGGTTTACTTCTGGTATACATTAAGTGTTAGATAGAAGCCATCTGTGAGCCTACCACAAGCAGGGTTCACCTGGAAACAGATTCTGAATATCGGAAATTTGCCTGTAGAAGGTAACTGGGCAGGGCTCTCAAGAACATAAGATTGGAGTTCAGGCAGAAATTGAATTTCAACACAGTTGCAACTGAGGCTTCAGCCAGTTTTAAAGCTCAGATGCTGGGATGGCCCTTGGGCATCATCCTAAATTGAGACAAGAAGCCAGGTCTTCACAGACACATCAACCAACCATTGCATATGGGCCACACCCAGGAAAGAAAGGGAACCCTTTTTAAAGAAAAGGGAACTCTTTTTAGCCAAAGAGTCCAAAAAGTCCTCAGAGAAAGACCCAGCTCTCTTGACAGCTGTCAGTTATCAATATTTCCAGCAGATGGGAAAGAGAGTACTTCAGTCCTAAAGAATAGACCTATATAAGAAGCTCAGCACAACAATTACCCCATGAACTCTGTTCAGAATAATCTCTGAAGTCCCCAGACTGATGGAGGCTTCACTGAGATACATATTTTCAAGATTGTCACAGTAAGGATCAGGCAATTTAATTGTGAGCACTGCAATTGAATTCTAAGTCTTTTAGTCATTAAAATGCTTCCCCCAGAAGCAATATGCATCACTTCCATTCATATCTTATTGGCCAAAGTCACTAGATCTGGGAGAAAGGGCAGAGGCTGTGAAAGGGGGAGAAGATAGCTCTGAAGCTATCCAAGAAGCAGACCAAGAAGATGGATAATATGTGGCTTTTAAGCAAAGACAGAAAGGAACTAAAAGTGAAAAGTTTGAGCTGTGGCTGGGCCCTCTGGTCGCAGGTAGAATTAAGAAATCTAGGGCCCTCCCTAGTGGCGCAGCGGGGTAAAGCACAGCATGAGAATCTAAAGACACTTCCGCATGAGTTCAATTCCCACCTGCCCCGGAGGTGACCACATGGCGCCACAGACCTCTCCTGACCTCTCCTGACCTGCCCGCTGCTCCCCTCAGCAGTGTACTTCCTAGATCTGTCTGTTCTGCTCCCCACTCTTTCTCTGGTGAAGCCTTTCACCTCCCCTGAGCCTCTGACCTAAACCCCAGTTCTGTATGCACAAATAAATAAATCTTTTTAAAAAAAAAAAAAGAAATCTGGCAAAAAGTAAGCTGTCCTTGTGCCTGAGGCAATGGTGATACTTAATTCCATTCTTGTTTAAACATCTAAATTCCCTGCTATAACATCTGTTGCCACTAATGGCTATAATGGCGTGTCTTGTAGTCTTGTACATTTAAGAAAACACTTTGACAAAAAAAGAGAAAGAAACCACACCTGTGAATTTTCTTCCATAGAAGCATTTTCCCTTATTAAATTTAGATATATCTCTCATAATCAGGGAAGTGCAAATCAAAACCACAATGAGATATCACATTGCACCAGTAAGAATGGCACACATTAAAAAAAAAAAAAAAACTAGCAACAACAAACATTGGAGAGGATCTGGAGAAAAAGGAACACCCCTACACTGCTGGTGGGAATGTAAACTGGTCCAACCACTATGGAAAGCTGTGTGGAGGTTCCTCAGATTACTAAAAATGGAACTAATATATGACCCAGCAATTCCACTCTAGGGATACATCCAAAGGATACAAAAACACTAACTCAAAAGAATACCAGTACCCCTATGTTTATTGCAGCACTATTTATAAAATAGTATTTGGGAAATAACCCAAATACCCAAAAATAAATGAATGACTGGATTAAGTAGATACTCATATATACATACACATACACATATATACATATATATATATA